ACCTGTAACCACCAGTCACTACACCAGGCATCATTAAGACTGTTACTGTACACCACCAGTCACTACACCAGGATCATTAAGGACTGTTACTCGCTAACCACCAGTCACTCACACCAGGGTATTAAAGGACTGCATTCACTGTACACCACCAGTCTCTACACCAGGGTCATTAAGACTGTTACCTGTACACCACCAGTCACTACACCAGGATCATTTAAGACTGCTACCTGACACCACAGTCACTTCCACCAAGGGTCATTAGACTGTAACTGTACTCCACCAGTCATACACCCAGGATCATAAGACTGCTACCTGTACACCACCAGTCACTACACCAGGATCATTAAGACTGTTACCTGTACACCACCAGTCACTTACACAGGCTCATTAAGACTGCTACCTGTACACACCAGTCACTACACCAGGATCATTAAGACTGTTACCTGTACACACCAAGTCACTAAACCAGGCCTCATTAAGAATGCTCACCTGTACACCACCAGTTAGTCACTACACCAGGATCATTAAGACTGTTACCTGTAACACCACCAGTCACTACACCAGGCATCATTAGACTGCTACATGTTCACACCATTCACTACACAGGATCATTAAGGACTGTTACTCGTACACCACCAGTCACTACACCGGGTCATTAAGACTGCTACCTGTACACTCACCAGTCACTACACCAGGGTCATTAAGACTTTACCTGCTACACCACCAGATCACTACACCAGGGTCATTAAGACTGTTACCTGTACACCACAGTCACTACACCCAGGGGTTCATTAAGACTGCTCCCAGTACAACCACCAGTCACTACACCAGGGTCATGAGGACTGTATACCTGTTACAACCACCAGTCACTACACCAGGGTCATTAAGACTGTTACCTGTACACCCAACAGGTCCACTACACCAGGGTCATTAAGCTGCTACCTGTACACCAACCAGTCACTACACCAGGGTTCATTAAGACTGATACCTGTAACCAGCCCTGATATTTCTCCTGCCTTGAACAATACTGTTCCAGCCCTGATATCTCTCCTGCCTTGAACAATACTGTTCCAGCCCTGATATCTCTCCTGCCCTGAACAATACTGTTCCAGCCCTGATATCTCTCCTGCCCTGAACAATACTGTTCCAGCCCTGATATCTCTCCTGCCCTGAACAATACTGTTCCAGCCCTGATATCTCTCCTGCCCTGAACAATACTGTTCCAGCCCTGATATCTCTCCTGCCCTGAACAATACTGTTCCAGCCCTGATATCTCTCCTGCCCTGAACAATACTGTTCCAGCCCTGATATCTCTCCTGCCCTGAACGGGGCCGTCAACACTGAGCAATATTCCAAATAAAGGAGCATAAACAATTAAAAATGTCAACACTGGCATTATTTCCCATGTTTTGAAAGTTTTCATTATCCACCCCGTCATCTTTCTGGCCGTGTCAGCTGACATTATTGCTCCCAGATCCTACACACGTTCCTTTCTAGTTGGTGATCTTGTGTTTCACACACAGTGTGGCTATTGTAAACAAATGGAACTTGTTACCACTGAACCCCAGGTTCGCCAATGAACCACAGGATGTTCACCACTGACCACTGAACCTCAGGATGTTCACCACTGACCACTGAACCTCAGGTTGTTCACCACTGACCACTGAACCTCAGGTTGTTCACCACTGACCACTGAACCTCAGGTTGTTCATCACTGACCACTGAACCTCAGGTTGTTCACCACTGACCACTGAACCTCAGGTTGTTCATCACTGACCACTGAACCTCAGGTTGTTCATCACTGACCACTGAGCCCCAGGTTCACCACTGAACCACAGGATGTTCACCACTGACCACTGAACCCCAGGTTATTCACCACTGAACCACAGGATGTTCACCACTGACCACTGAACCCCAGGTTATTCACCACTGAACCTCAGGTTGTTCACCACTGACCACTGAACCTCAGGTTGTTCACCAGTGACCACAGGATGTTCATTGCCCACTGAAAAAATCTATTTATATCTTCCTGGAGTTTTTTCCAGTGTTGTGATGTGATTTTCATGGTCACAGAGATGTTAGGAAGTATTTCTTCAGTCTTGGAGTAGATGAATGGTTCAGTGAACCGACACGTTGATAAATTAGACACATGTGGCGAAACGTTTCCTCAATAAAGATACCCAAAAGTTGCACATGTCTAATTTATCAGTCTTGGAGTAGTCAGAAGTGACCTGGAGAATGCTAAAGTGAAGGTAGGAACCTTTACATAGCTTTAAGAAGAGGTATGATAAAGCTCACGGAGCAGGGAGAGAGTGGACCTAGTAGCGACCAGTGAAGAGGCGGGGCCAGGAGCTGTTAATCGACCCCCGCAACCACAAATAGGTGAGTACACTGGTACCACCACACTGACACCACCATAATTACCACCGCCACTACCACCAACACCACCCTAACAACTACCACTACCACCACCACAACAACAACTACCACTATCACCACAACTACCACCATCACCACAATTTTCACAATCCAGAATTCACAAACTAATGACATTTCCCAGATAATACCGGGACTGAAGTATGTCCTCAGTATACATTATACGTATGTCCTCAGTATACATTATACTCATACATTATACACCTGTATAATATATACAATGATGAGTTTATTCCCATTATATTACGTAAGTGAATAAATTAAATATTTAAAAATTTTTTAACCACATGGTTATTTTGGTATGTGTCAGTAGATAGAAGCTAAACTAGTGGCCACCAGGACACATATTTTAGTTACTATCTGTACTGGGAGACTGAGATAGTTGACTATCCAGCAGTTACCATGGAGGCTGGATGTATGGGACAGGTGTGAGTCACTGGCTAGTGTGAACGACACTAAGCTGTCGTCTCTTTCCCACACACACACAAGTACACACACGCACACGTACGCATACGCACACGCAGGCGCACATATACGCACACGCAAGCGCACACATACGCACACGCTCTATTGAGAGAAAGAGAGATAGAGAGAGGTAGATAGGATGGTACATAAAAGTATACTAGTAACTCTCCCTATCTACTCCCTATTTATCAAGGGTGATCCTTACTTATCAAGGGTGATCCTTACTTATCAAGGGTGATCCCTACTTATCAAGGGTGATCCCTATTTATCAAGGGTGATCCCTACTTATCAAGGGTGATCTCCATTTATCAAGGGTGATCCCTGCTTATGAAGGGTGATCCCTACTTATCAAGGGTGATCCTTACTTATCAAGGGTGATCCCTACTTATCAAGGGTGATCCTTACTTATCAAGGGTGATCCCTACTTATCAAGGGTGATCCTTACTTATCAAGGGTGATCCCTACTTATCAAGGGTGATCCTTACTTATCAAGGGTGATCCCTACTTATCAAGGGTGATCCCTACTTATCAAGGGTGATCCTTACTTATTAAGGGTGATCCCTACTTATCAAGGGTGATCTCCATTTATGAAGGGTGATCCCTACTTATGAAGGGTGATCCCTACTTATGAAGGGTGATCCCTACTTATGAAGGGTGATCCCTACTTATGAAGGGTGATCCCTACTTATGAAGGGTGATCCCTACTTATGAAGGGTGATCCCTACTTATGAAGGGTGATCCCTACTTATGAAGGGTGATCCCTACTTAAGAAGGGTGATCCCTACTTATGAAGGGTGATCCCTACTTATGAAGGGTGATCCCTACTTATGAAGGGTGATCCCTACTTATCAAGGGTGATCCCTACTTATCAAGGGTGATCCCTACTTATCAAGGGTGATCCCTACTTATGAAGGGTAATCCCTACTTATCAAGGGTGATCCCTACTTATCAAGGGTGATCCCTACTTATCAAGGGTAATCCCTACTTATCAAGGGTGATCCCTACTTATCAAGGGTGATCCCTACTTATCAAGGGTGATCCCTACTTATCAAGGGTGATCCCTACTTATCAAGGTGATCCCTACTTATCAAGGTGATCCCTACTTATCAAGGGTGATCCCTACTTATCAAGGGTGATCCTACTTATCAAGGGTGATCCCTACTTATCAAGGGTGATCCCTACTTATCAAGGGTGATCCCTACTTATCAAGGGTGATCCCTACTTATCAAGCGTGATCCCTACTTATCAAGGGTGATCCTTACTTATCAAGGGTGATCCCTACTTATCAAGGGTGATCCCTACTTATCAAGGGTGATCCCTACTTATCAAGGGTGATCCCTACTTATCAAGGGTGATCCCTACTTATCAAGGGTGATCCCTACTTATCAAGGGTGATCCTTACTTATCAAGGGTGATCCCTACTTATCAAGGGTGATCCCTACTTATCAAGGGTGATCCCTACTTATCAAGGGTGATCCCTACTTATCAAGGGTGATCCCTACTTATCAAGGGTGATCCCTACTTATCAAGGGTGATCCCTACTTATCAAGGGTGATCCCTACTTATGAAGGGTAATCCCTACTTATCAAGGGTGATCCCTACTTATCAAGGGTGATCCCTACTTATCAAGGGTAATCCCTACTTATCAAGGGTGATCCCTACTTATCAAGGGTGATCCCTACTTATCAAGGGTGATCCCTACTTATCAAGGGTGATCCCTACTTATCAAGGGTGATCCTACTTATCAAGGGTGATCCTACTTATCAAGGGTGATCCCTACTTATCAAGGGTGATCCCTACTTATCAAGGGTGATCCCTACTTATCAAGGGTGATCCCTACTTATCAAGGGTGATCCCTACTTATCAAGGGTGATCCCTACTTATCAAGGGTGATCCCTACTTATCAAGGGTGTTAATTTTTAAGATCTGTGCTTAAAAAGATCACACCTTAACAATACTTCAGTAAGAGTAAAATAGCCGGCCAGAAATTCTCACCAGAACACAGGAATAACAAACGAACACAAGAAGAAAAAGGCTATTCTTGTATGTATGTATGTGTGTGTGAAAGAGAAAGAGAGAGATATAGAGAGATAGCTTACCTTGATGAGTCTGGCCATGTTCTTGGCCCTCCAGTAGGTAGGAGGGAGACATCGTTGAAGAGTCAAGGCCGGCTGGCCGCCGTTCTTGTGCGGGTCGAGGGCCCCGTAGCAGCCACGGAACAGGTCTCCAGGGCCGCCCAGGAAGCTCTCCGAAGCTGGGATGGCTTGTGGCCTCTTGCCGCCCATGACGCCCGTCCACATGCCGCCCGTGTTGCTGGTAGTGGTGGAGTAGTCGTCATCATCGTTGTCTTGGTGGTGCTGGTGCAGGAAGGAGTGGCGGCGGTGCGCGTCCAGTGGCACCGATAACTGAACACCTTCCTGAGGGAGGAGATGATGGTGAGTTAGAGACAGAGAGATACAGAGAGATAGAGAAAGAGAGACAAAGAGACAGATAAATATGTGAAATAAAAGGTTGACCCCCGTCTATATAGGCCAATTGTCTCGTAACGTCAAAATGGGACCATGTAAGCCATACTACTTACAAGGTAAACAATTCAATTTACAAGTCTCTAATTCTAGGGATTAAGGTGTGATAATGAGATCCTCTGCCATACCAGGGTTAACATCCAGGTGAATGTTAGTTTACAACATCCAGCACCGTTAAAAAAATCTCAAACTTATCTGCGTGTGTGGGACTCGAAGCGTGACCAGGAGTCCGCAGCTTAATTAACAGTATAGCGTCAGTATAGCGTAGGTATAGCGTCAGTATAGCAATTAGCGGGCGGAGGATAGAGCTTTCATCACTCCTTGTGCAGAATGACTCACTGTTAACGAAGGAGGTACAGTGGGTGCCACACACAGGGTAAACACAGGACTGACACACTGTGTAGGGCACGCAGTGTGTACTCACCTAGTTGTACTCACCTAGTTGAGGTTGCAAGGGTCGATTCAAAGCTCCTGGTCCCGCCTCTTCACTGGTCGCTACTAGGTCACTCTCCCTGAACCGTGAGCTTTATCATACCTCTGCTTAAAGCTATGTATGGATCCTGCCTCCACTACATCGCTTCCCAAACTATTCCACTTACTGACTACTCTGTGGCTGAAGAAATACTTCCTAACATGTGTGTGTGTGTGTGTGTGTGTGTGTACTCACCTATTTGTACTCACCTATTTGTGGTTGCAGGGGTCGAGTCTTAGCTCCTGGCCCCGCCTCTTCACCGGTTGCTACTGGGCCCTCTCTCTCCCCGCTCCATGAGCTTTATCAAACCTCGTCTTAAAACTGTGTATGGTTCCTGCCTCCACTACGTCATTTTCTAGGCTATTCCACGGCCTTACAACTCTATGACTGAAGAAATACTTCCTAATATCTCTCTGACTCATTTGTGTCTTCAACTTCCAATTGTGGCCTCTTGTTTCTGTGTCCCCTCCCTGGAACATCCTGTCTTTGTCCACCTTGTCTATTCCACGCAGTATTTTATATGTCGTTATCATGTCTCCCCTGACCCTCCTGTCCTCCAGTGTCGTCAGGCCGATTTCCCTTAATGTGTGTGTGTGTGTGTGTGTGTGTGTGTGTGTGTGTGTGTGTGTGTGTGTGTGTGTGTATCGTGTTCCTGACTAACCTAAACAATACATTAATCTGCCACTCTCTGCTCCATCTATCATAAATTCAATCCTTCTCTTCCTCCTTACATTCTCATCCGTTTTCTTCTTCTCCCTTCTCGTCTTCACGTTCCGTGACATGGTCAGGTCCCTTGGTTCCTTCAAGACGACAACCGCACACCTGAGACCATCTCAATACACTGCTTTAAGGTTAGGTACGATAGCCTACCAACTGAACCGCACAACTAGTGTCAACCTGCTAGGACTGCAAGCTAGTGATCAACCACACAACCCAACAACGTGAGCAGATGAGAGGACTGTACACCACAACGCCAACTGACACAAAACACACACACACACACACACAGGGAGCAGGGAGAGAGAGGACCTAGTAGCGACCAGCGAAGAGGCGGGGCCAGGAGCTGTGACTCACAGTTAGGTGAATACACACACACACAACACACACACACACACACCACACATACACACACACACACACACACACACACACACACACACACACACACACACACACGGGGAAACTGCAGCAAAGGAAGGGAAATCTGTGGATTTTTGCTGGCTGGAAAATACGCAGAGGCAGACAATGTCAACTAAGAATCTTCATACGAGACCAGAGACAAGGAACCTACTTATGAGAAGACAATGAAACCTGGGGAACCTGGGGGAATAGGGGGGGAATCCTACGAATCTTGAGAGAATATCACAAATTTAACAGTCGAGGAAGAGTGTCGAATGACCTACTGGATGGGATTGAAACTCTCTGCGTGTCACTGTTTGTTGATGTAAAAACTAATGAGAAGAATAAGGAGAGGAGAGTATAAACCCTAGAGAGTCGTCAACAGCGTGGAGATGTGGTCAGACAAGTGGCTGCTCGAGTTCAACCCAAACAAATGCAAAGTCATGTGTTATGGAGAAGGAGAGTGAAGACCGGACACGGAGTACAGCATGGGAGAAGAGAAGCTGTGAATATCAGTGTGAACAGGAGAGTGAAGACCGGACACGGAGTACAGCATGGGAGAAGAGAAGCTGTGAATATCAGTGTGAACAGGAGAGTGAAGACCGGACACGGAGTACAGCATGGGAGAAGAGAAGCTGTGAATATCAGTGTGAACAGGAGAGTGAAGACCGGACACGGAGTACAGCATGGGAGAAGAGAAGCTGTGAATATCAGTGTGAACATGAACAGGAGAGTGAAGACCGGACACGGAGTACAGCATGGGAGAAGAGAAGCTGTGAATATCAGTGTGAACAGGAGAGTGAAGACCGAACACGGAGTACAGCATGGGAGAAGAGAAGCTGTGAATATCAGTGTGAACAGGAGAGTGAAGACCGGACACGGAGTACAGCATGGGAGAAGAGAAGCTGTGAATATGAGCGTGAACATGACCTGGGAGGTCAATATAACACCAAAATATCACCAGAAATAAACTTGTATAACGTCAACGGTAAATATAATACTAGTTAACCTGAGAACTAATTAACCTGATAATTAGTTACCCTCAGAATAAGTTAATTAACCTGGGAATTAGTTAACCTGTGAATTAGTCCGTTCCTGCCAGCCATCTGAGGTAACTGATTTCGGTTTTAAGGGACAGTGTCCGTTATATACAGAGTTGTTCGTTGTTACAATGACGGGAAACACAGTCATAGATATTAATAGTTAGTGGACACTGGTTATTAGCGCGTAACACTGCTTACTTAGTCCGTTAAGTGGGACGTTTTTATGGGAATTTGTGAGTTACTGTTGAGTTAGTTTTTCTAACTTAGTCCCTTGACTCTAACTTAGCCCCTTGGCTTCCAACTTAGCCCCTTGGCTCCAACTTAGCCCCTTGGCTCCAACTTAGCCCCTTGGCTCCAACTTAGCCCTGGCTCCAACTTTCACCTTAGCACAACTGGTTAGCTGGCTCAACTTAGCCCCTTGGCTCCAATTAGCCCCTTGGCTCAACTATGCTCTTGGCTCCAACTTCCCCTTGGCTCCAACTTAGCCCTTGGCTCCAATTGTAACTCCCTTGGCTCCAACTTAGCCCTGGCTCCAATAGCCCCTTGGTCAACTTACCCTTGGCTCTAACTTTACGCTCCTGACTACTTTGCTTTAAGACATAATCTGTCATTTTCGTGCAAAATGTCACTGGGTTAGTGGTAACTTGTGGGTAGATCGGGACAAAATTTAGACTAATCTCGAGAAATGCTCAGAAGGGACTTCTATCTAGTATGTATCATTGTCAACTATAGTTATATAAGTTGTAACTTCTACTTGATGGAAATTTCATCATATACATATAAGCCCCGTGGGGTCTGCCTGGCCCCCTGTGGTCCATTTCCAGGTCATCTGACAGTCTATCTTCTCAGACCTTCAAGACTGTCAGAACATAAGCTGACATAAATACTGTGAAATTTTCCTGACATACTCACTCTGGATAATTCGATAATTAGGGGAAAATTATAGAGTTTTTTAGGAATGGAGATAATAAGGACTGATCTGGCAAAGTAGGAGAGAGGACCCATTCCGGAATCAAAACCTTCACAGCATTCAAGGATGTTAATCAGAAGTCTTCTAATGTTTAACTGAATGCTTATTACAGAAAAAGGCTCGAAACTCGTACGGGTTACAACAGTGGTGCTCACTGACCACAAAACAGAAATTTACGTGGATTATATATATATATATATATATATACACACACACACACACACACACACACATATATATATATATATCTCAGACTGATCTAGCCCATCAGAAATTGTCTTACTTTAAATGAATCAGCGCCTGGCCATCAGGTATTTAAGTGATCATTTAGCCCATCAGAAACTGATTTAAGGCTTGAAATTATCTGTTGGGCGAGTCAGCCATCAGGTATCTGAGTGGTCAGTCAGTTTACTGAGCGTCAATGACCAAACATCTGGTAGCAGGTGTGTGGGAGAGGAGCGCAGCTGTCGTTGTTTACACTTGTTCCATCACGTCCAAAACATCACCCAACATTCCCCACTAGTCTAGACTCGTCCCATGTAGTCCAAAACATCACCCAACATTCCCCACTAGTCTAGACTCGTCCCATGGAGTCCAAAACATCACCCAACATTCCCCACTAGTCTAGACTCGTCCCATGTAGTCCAAAACATCACCCAACATTCCCCACTAGTCTAGACTCGTCCCATGGACTCCAAAACATCACCCAACATTCCCCACTAGTCTAGACTCGTCCCATGTAGTCCAAAAACATCACCCAACATTCCCCACTAGTCTAGACTCGTCCCATGGACTCCAAACATCACCAACATTCCCCACTAGTCTAGACTCGTCCCATGTAGTCCAAAACATCACCCAACATTCCCCACTAGTCTAGACTCGTCCCATGGACTCCAAACATCACCCAACATTCCCCACTAGTCTAGACTCGTCCCATGTAGTCCAAAACATCACCCAACATTCCCCACTAGTCTAGACTCGTCCCATGGACTCCAAAACATCACCCAACATTCCCCACTAGTCTAGACTCGTCCCATGGAGTCCAAAACATCACCCAACATTCCCCACTAGTCTAGACTCGTCCCATGTAGTCCAAAACATCACCCAACATTCCCCACTAGTCTAGACTCGTCCCATGGACTCCAAAACATCACCCAACATTCCCCACTAGTCTAGACTCGTCCCATGGACTCCAAAACATCACCCAACATTCCCCACTAGTCTAGACTCGTCCCATGGAGTCCAAAACATCACCCAACATTCCCCACTAGTCTAGACTCGTCCCATGTAGTCCAAAACATCACCCAACATTCCCCACTAGTCTAGACTCGTCCCTGGACGTCCAAAACATCACCCAACATTCCCCACTAGTCTAGACACGTCCCATGGATCCAAAACATCACCCAACATTCCCCACTAGTCTAGACTCGTCCCATGGACTCCAAAACATCACCCAACATTCCCCACTAGTCTAGACTCGTCCCATGGACTCCAAAACATCCCCCAACATTCCCCACTAGTCTAGACTCGTCCCATGTAGTCCAAAACATCACCCAACATTCCCCACTAGTCTAGACTCGTCCCATGGAGTCCAAAACATCCCCCAACATTCCCCACTAGTCTAGACTCGTCCCATGGACTCAAAACATCACCCAACATTCCCCACTAGTCTAGACTCGTCCCATGGACTCCAAAACATCACCCAACATTCCCCACTAGTCTAGACTCGTCCCATGGACTCCAAAACATCACCCAACATTCCCCACTAGTCTAGACACGTCCCATGGACTCCAAAACATCCCCCAACATTCCCCACTAGTCTAGACTCGTCCCATGGAGTCCAAAACATCACCCAACATTCCCCACTAGTCTAGACTCGTCCCATGGAGTCCAAAACATCACCCAACATTCCCCAGTAGTCTAGACTCGTCCCATAGAGTCCAAAACATCCCCAACATTCCCCACTAGTCTAAACAAAAGTAACATAAACAAATACAGAAACACACAATTTTATCATCAAAATCAACAATAACACACCGTAAACATTTTGGAAAAATTAATACATAAACACATAGATTGTAAATAACTGGAGACAGTCACAAAGGTTGAAGATAACGCTTTGACTGGGACGACGTTTCCCTCAGTGTAGAGCTTTGATAACTCACGTTTGGCTCTGGTAGAGCTTTATCAAGTCATGTCTTGCTTTGTGTAAAGCTTTATCATGTTTCAGGATGTATAGAGCTTTATCACGAGATGGCAGAGCTCTACACAGGAGAAAGCGTAACCCCAAGGAAAGCGTCTCTCACAATCTCTGTTATCTCCGTAACGTCAACAATATTGTCCAGAGATCTTTATTATTTAAAAAAAATTATAAAGAAAAAGGGTCTTTGAAAAGGGTCTTTGAAAAGGGTCTTCAAAATGGGTATAGACACTTAAGAGAGAGTGAAATACATGCCCTACACACCTGCTTAACGTGCCCCAGGAGACATATAGCTGGCTCCAGGCACATCTGTGACACCCTGGCCAACACCTGCCCTGCCAGACAGGTGGCCCGACCAAAGCACACCTGTGAGAGACAAGCCAAGAGCCGCCTGAGTACACAGGTGGTGCAGGTGGTTGCTGCAGGTGCAAGGCCCGCCTCCTCGTTCCTCTCTTCCGACATCTGTAGTAGGGGAGCCACCTGCCCCTTGTTTGAGGGAGAGGGATCTGTCTGACCCTCCCCCGTCTCAGGTGACAGGGACCCCCTCCTTCAGTCTTAGATGCAAGGAACCTGTCTTTCTTACTGTCTGAAGAGACAGGGACCCTCCTCCTCCAGTCTTAGCTGGAAGGAACCTGTCTCTCTGACTGTCTGAAGAGACAGGGACCCCCTCCTTCAGTCTTAGTTGGAAGGAACCTGTCTCTCTGTCTGAAGAGACAGGGACCCCCTCCTTCAGTCTTAGATGCAAGGAACCTGTCTTTCTTACTGTCTGAAGAGACAGGGACCTTCCTCCTCCAGTCTTAGCTGGAAGGAACCTGTCTCTCTGAGTGTATGAAGAGACAGGGACCCTCCTCCTCCAGTCTTAGGTGACAAGCACACTATTTTCCCCTTTGAGAATAAAGGGGAAGCTTTTCCCTTTAAGGGGAGAGACACGCCCCTTCTTCCCGTTTAAGAGGAGAGAAACGTCTCTTACCACCTGTGTCAGATGTTAAGACGGTGTCACGTGTCATCTCGCCCGCTGTGACACATTCCACACGGGTTACAATGTGTGTCACCTCCCAGGTGTGGCTGACACCGTGTGTGATATTAAAGCGGGCAAAACGAGTTGTTGACCACGTGTAGTGTGTCTAACCGCGTGTAGTGTCTAACCACGTGTAGTGTGTCTGACCACGTGTATTGTCTAACCACGTGTAGTGTGTCTAACCACGTGTAGTGTGTCTGACCACGTGTATTGTCTAACCACGTGTAGTGTGCATAACCACGTGTAGTGTGTCCGACCACGTGTATTGTCTGACCACGGGTATTGTGTCTGATCACGTGTAGTGTTTAACCACGTGTATTGTCCGACCACGTGTAGTGTTTCTCTAACACGTGTCAGATATACTGCTGGTGTTTCCCGTATTGACTGAATGACGGCCGCTATGATTTCTTCTTTGGCAGCTGAGGTAAACTGGAGCATGTATCCCTAGTTCAGGTATCCCATGTATACCCACACAGTACAGTGCTTGTGTAGGGTGTATCCCTGGTATAGGTATCCCCACACAGTACAATGTTAGTGTACTGTAGGGTATATCCATGGGTTCAGGTATGCCAAGTATCCCCCACACAGTACAGTGCTAGTATAGGTTGTATTCCTGGTACAGGTATCCCAGATATCCCCACACAGTACTATGTTAGTGAAGAGTGTATCCCTAGTACAGGTATCCCCACATAGTACAATGTTACTCAAGGGTGCATCCCTGGTACAGGTATCCCCACACAGTACAATGTTAATGAAGGGTGTATCCCTGGTTCAGGTATCCCAGGTATCCCCACACAGTCCAGCGTTGGTGAAGGGTGTATTCCAGGTTCATGTATTCCAGGTAACTCCCACACAGTCTAGTGTTAGTGTAGGTTGTATCCCTGGTACAGGCATCCCCACATAATACAGTGTTAGCGAAGAGTGTATCCTTGGTTTAGGAATCAAAGGTATCCCCACACAGTACAATGTTAATGATAGGTCTATCCCTGGTACAGGTATCCCTACATATTACAGTGTTAGTGTACGTTGTATCCCTGGTACAGGTATCCTAACACAGTGCAGTTTTAGTGTAGGTTGTATCCCTGATACAAGTATCTCCACACAGTGCAGTGTTAGTGAAGGGTATATCCCTGGTATCCCAGGTATCCCTGCAGGCAGAGAGAGAGAGTAGGCTGGACTATGGTACTACTAACCTTGCCATTGTGTTGAGTGTGTGGCAAGTATAGTTGACCTCCGTGGTTAGCTGTGGGCGTGGGCTGTGTGGGCGTGGGCTGGGTGGTAACTGAGGGTGGTGGTGGTGGGTGAAGGTGGGGTAGGTGCAAGTGGTGGTGGGATGGTGGTAGTTGACCAGTAGTATTACTAGTGTCACTATTAGCGAGACTAAAACTGAAGGAGTGGTCGCGGGCGGGTGAGGGCGCTGTCAGACTGACTTGGGTGTGGATGGGGGAATGGGCGTGCGTGGGGGTGGGCGTGTGGGCGTGGAGGGATGAGGTGGAGGGGGCCAGGTTGGAGGATGAGGTGTGAGGAGGTGCCCAGGTCTCTTCAATACGAAGTTGAATGCAGGCCAGAGATGCAACTTCCTCCTTACTGCAGGCCAGCTCTCCGCTCACCACCAGCTGCTGCAACTGCAACACAGGTCAAAACACAGGTTACTACAATAACAAAGGTCAAAAACACTGGTTACTACAATAACAAAGGTCAAAAACACAGGTTACTACAACAACAAAGGTCAAACACACGTTATTACAACCACGGGACGATTCAACCACGTGTGTGTGAGACTGTGTCAACACAGTCTAGTACTGGTGGTCAACAGTCTAGTACTGGTGGTCAATACAGTCTAGTACTGGTGGTCAACACAGTCTAGTACTGGTGGTCAACAGTCTAGTACTGGTGGTCAACAGTCTAGTACTGGTGGTCAACACAGTCTAGTACTGGTGGTCAACAGTCTAGTACTGGTGGTCAACAGTCTAGTACTGGTGGTCAATACAGTCTAGTACTGGTGGTCAACACAGTCTAGTACTGGTGGTCAACAGTCTAGTACTGGTGGTCAACAAGTCTAGTACTGGTGGTCAACACAGTCTAGTACTGGTGGTCAACAGTCTAGTACTGGTGGTCAACAGTCTAGTACTGGTGGTCAACAGTCTAGTACTGGTGGTCAACACAGTCTAGTACTGGTGGTCAACAGTCTAGTACTGGTGGTCAACAGTCTAGTACTGGTGGTCAATACAGTCTAGTACTGGTGGTCAACACAGTCTAGTACTGGTGGTCAATACAGTCTAGTACTGGTGGTCAACACAGTCTAGTACTGGTGGTCAATACAGTCTAGTACTGGTGGTCAACACAGTCTAGTACTGGTGGTCAACAGTCTAGTACTGGTGGTCAACAGTCTAGTACTGGTGGTCAACACAGTCTAGTACTGGTGGTCAATACAGTCTAGTACTGGTGGTCAACACAGTCTAGTACTGGTGGTCAACAGTCTAGTACTGGTGGTCAACACAGTCTAGTACTGGTGGTCAACACAGTCTAGTACTGGTGGTCAATACAGTCTAGTACTGGTGGTCAACACAGTCTAGTACTGGTGGTCAATACAGTCTAGTACTGGTGGTCAACACAGTCTAGTACTGGTGGTCAACAGTCTAGTACTGGTGGTCAACAGTCTAGTACTGGTGGTCAATACAGTCTAGTACTGGTGGTCAACACAGTCTAGTACTGGTGGTCAATACAGTCTAGTACTGGTGGTCAATACAGTCTAGTACTGGTGGTCAACAGTCTAGTACTGGTGATCAACACAGTCTAGTACTGGTGGTCAACAGTCTAGTACTGGTGATCAACACAGTCTAGTACTGGTGGTCAACAGTTAGTACTGGTGATCAACACAGTCTAGTACTGGTGGTCAACAGTCTAGTACTGGTGGTCAACACAGTCTAGTACTGGTGGTCAACACAGTCTAGTACTGGTGGTCAACAGTCTAGTACTGGTGGTCAACACAGTCTAGTACTGGTGGTCAACACAGTCTAGTACTGGTGGTCAATACAGTCTAGTACTGGTGGTCAACACAGTCTAGTACTGGTGGTCAATACAGTCTAGTACTGGTGGTCAACACAGTCTAGTACTGGTGGTCAACAGTCTAGTACTGGTGGTCAACAGTCTAGTACTGGTGGTCAACACAGTCTAGTACTGGTCAACAGTTTAGTACTGGTGGTCAACAGTCTAGTACTGGTGGTCAACACAGTCTAGTACTGGTGGTCAACAGTCTAGTACTGGTGGTCAACACAGTCTAGTACTGGTGGTCAACAGTCTAGTACTGGTGGTCAACAGTCTAGTACTGGTGGTCAACAGTCTAATACTGGTGGTCAACAGTCTAGTATTGGTGGTCAACAGTCTAGTACTGGTGGTCAACACAGTCTAGTACTGGTGGTCAACAGTCTAGTACTGGTGGTCAACACAGTCTAGTACTGGTCAACAGTTTAGTACTGGTGGTCAACAGTCTAGTACTGGTGGTCAACACAGTCTAGTACTGGTGGTCAACAGTCTAGTACTGGTGGTCAACAGTCTAGTACTGGTGGTCAACAGTCTAGTACTGGTGGTCAACAGTCTAGTACTGGTGGTCAACAGTCTAGTACTGGTGGTCAACACAGTCTAGTACTGGTGGTCAACACAGTCTAGTACTGGTGTTCAACAGTCTAGTACTGGTGGTCAACAGTCTAGTACTTGTGGTCAACACAGTCTAGTACTGGTGGTCAACAGTCTAGTACTGGTGGTCAACAGTCTAGTACTGGTGGTCAACACAGTCTAGTACTGGTGGTCAACAGTCTAGTACTGGTGGTCAACAGTCTAGTACTGGTGGTCAACACAGTCTAGTACTGGTGGTCAACACAGTCTAGTACTGGTGGTCAACACAGTCTAGTACTGGTGGTCAACAGTCTAGTACTGGTGGTCAACAGTCTAGTACTGGTGGTCAACACAGTCTAGTACTGGTGGTCAACACAGTCTAGTACTGGTGGTCAACACAGTCTAGTACTGGTGTTCAACAGTCTAGTACTGGTGGTCAACAGTCTAGTACTGGTGGTCAACACAGTCTAGTACTGGTGGTCAACAGTCTAGTACTGGTGGTCAACAGTCTAGTACTGGTGGTCAACACAGTCTAGTACTGGTGGTCAACAGTCTAGTACTGGTGGTCAACAGTCTAGTACTGGTGGTCAACACAGTCTAGTACTGGTGGTCAACACAGTCTAGTACTGGTGGTCAACACAGTCTAGTACTGGTGGTCAACACAGTCTAGTACTGGTGGTCAACAGTCTAGTACTGGTGGTCAACACAGTCTAGTACTGGTGGTCAACACAGTCTAGTACTGGTGGTCAACAGTCTAATACTGGTGGTCAACAGTCTAGTACTGAAGGTAACCAGAGAAAGGAATTACCGACTGTGATCTAATTTAACTCCCCACCCAGACCTTGTATCTGGTCCAATATTAACCAAACTTCTCACACCTTGGCCCGAGACTGTAACTTAGCACCGTTTAAAGTCTCATTCCGATACGTCAGTTGGTTCGTGAGATATAAAGGAAATAATGAGCTTACTTTCGCAAACATCACGGCTGGCACGAATTTTTTAGCATTTTGCTGAGAGAGAGAGAGAGAGAGAGAGAGAGAGAGAGAGAGAGAGAGAGAGAGAGAGAGAGAGAGAGAGAGAGAGAGAGAGAGAGAGAGAGAGAGAGAGAGAGAGAGAGAGAGAGAGAGAGAGAGAGAGAGAGAGTTTTCTCTATTAAAGTATAATATCCGAAGATTTTAGCAAAAAAGAAATCTGACCAGTGGCCATGTTTACTGTGGCATTACTGCTGCACTGTTGACCTTGTTGTTACTGTTGTTGCTACTGTCGTTGTTGTTACTGCTGTTGCTACTGTTGTTGCGGTTATTGTTGTTGCTGCTGCTTTTGTTGTTGTCGCAGTTCCTGTTATTGTTACCGTTACTGATGCTTCTACTGATACTTTTGACGCTGTTGTTGTTGCAGCTCCTGTTGTTGTTGGTGCTGTTGTTGTTGCAGCTCCTGTTGGTGTTGGTGCTGTTGTTGTTGTTGTTGGTGGTCATGTTGTTGTTGGTGCTGTTGTTGTTGCAGCTCCTGTTGTTGGTGCTGTTGTTGTTGCAGCTCCTGTTGTTGGTGCTGTTGTTGTTGCAGCTCCTGTTGGTGTTGGTGCTGTTGTTGTTGTTGGTGGTCATGTTGTTGTTGGTGCTGTTGTTGTTGCAGCTCCTGTTGGTGTTGGTGCTGCTGTTGTTGTTGCAGCTCCTGTTGGTGTTGGTGCTGTTGTTGTTGCAGCTCCTGTTGGTGCTGTTGTTGTTGTTGCAGCTCCTGTTGGTGTTGGTGCTGTTGTTGTTGTTGCAGCTCCTGTTGGTGTTGGTGCTGCTGTTGTTGTTGCAGCTCCTGTTGGTGTTGGTGCTGTTGTTGTTGTTGCAGCTCCTGTTGGTGTTGGTGCTGTTGTTGTTGTTGCAGCTCCTGTTGATGTTGGTGATGCTGCTGTTGTTACAGCTCCTGTTGGTGTTGGTGCTGCTGTTGTTGTTGCAGCTCCTGTTGGTGTTGGTGCTGTTGTTGTTGTTGCAGCTCCTGTTGGTGTTGGTGATGCTGCTGTTGTTGCAGCTCCTGTTGGTGTTGGTGCTGTTGTTGTTGTTGCAGCTCCTGTTGATGTTGGTGATGCTGCTGTTGTTGCAGCTCCTGTTGGTGTTGGTGCTGCTGTTGTTGTTGCAGCTCCTGTTGGTGTTGGTGCTGTTGTTGTTGTTGCAGCTCCTGTTGGTGTTGGTGCTGCTGTTGCTGTTGCAGCTCCTGTTGGTGTTGGTGCTGCTGCTGTTGTTGCAGCTCCTGTTGTTGTTGGTGCTGTTGTTGTTGTTGCAGCTCCTGTTGGTGTTGGTGCTGTTGTTGTTGCAATTCCTGTTGGTGTTGGTGCTGTTGTTGCTGTTGCAGCTCCTGTTGATGTTGGTGCTGTTGTTGTTGCAGATCCTGTTGGTGTTGGTGCTGTTGTTGTTGCAGCTCCTGTTGGTGTTGGTGCTGTTGTTGTTGCAGCTCCTGTTGATGTTGGTGATGCTGCTGTTGTTACAGCTCCTGTTGGTGTTGGTGCTGCTGTTGTTGTTGCAGCTCCTGTTGTTGTTGGTGCTGTTGTTGTTGTTGCAGCTCCTGTTGGTGTTGGTGCTGTTGTTGTTGCAGCTCCTGTTGATGTTGGTGCTGTTGTTGTTGCAGATCCTGTTGGTGTTGGTGCTGTTGTTGTTGTTGCAGCTCCTGTTGGTGTTGGTGATGTTGTTGTTGTTGAAGCTCCTGTTGGTGTTGGTGATGTTGTTGTTGTTGCAGCTCCTGTTGGTGTTGGTGCTGCTGTTGTTGTTGCAGCTCCTGTTGGTGTTGGTGCTGTTGTTGTTGTTGCAGCTCCTGTTGGTGTTGGTGATGCTGCTGTTGTTGCAGCTCCTGTTGGTGTTGGTGCTGTTGTTGTTGTTGCAGCTCCTGTTGGTGTTGGTGCTGTTGTTGTTGTTGCAGCTCCTGTTGGTGTTGGTGCTGTTGTTGTTGTTGAAGCTCCTGTTGGTGTTGGTGATGTTGTTGTTGTTGCAGCTCCTGTTGGTGTTGGTGCTGTTGTTGTTGTTGCAGC